GAGCGCTCATCACTGGTGGAGTGAAGTTGATGTCCCTGCGCGGAAACAGGGACTGGATCACCCCATCCAGCAATGCCGGCTCGAGGGTCTCTGACAGTGGAGGACCGTACGGGCGCAGTTTGTTGCGCGCCGCCCTGTACGGCCTCCCAAAGGGATCGGCGCCCATTTGGGCCGTCAGCGTCGACTTGGCGTCTTTATAGGCCGCGTAGAGGCGGTCCTCGTTTTCGAGGTCGCGGTTACGCCGCCGCCGGCTCCTGGTATAGGCCCGCCTGGCTGCCACACAGGCGGCCCGCAGCCGTGTCAGCTCCTCCGACCACCAGTAAACCGCACGTCGGGGAGGCCGACGGTGAGACCGGGGCATGCTAGAGTTGCACACCTCGGTCAGGGAGTCCCTCAACTGGACTGCCGTGGCATCCACGTCGTGGACGTCGACAGGAGACGACAGCCAGTCTTGGACGAACGCCGCCTCCGCTGCGGCCTCCCGGTCCAGGCGGGTAAGCGCCCACCGCGGGAAGTGTGACCGACCACCGCGCGCCCCAGGATAGTCCTGGGTGGAGATGTCAAACCGCACGTATCGGTGGTCGGACAACGTCTCCAAAAGCTCCACCCGCCAGTCCACTACACAAGCCGCCAAAGAAGGGGAGGCAAAGGCGAGATCAACGATGGAGCCCCCCTCCCGCCGCACGCAGGTGTGGACTGTGCCTCTATTTAGGAGGGACAGTCCGGATGAGACGGACCAGGTCTCCACCTCGCGTCCTCGTGCATCGGTGGTCGGGTTGCCCCATGTCACCGACTTGGCGTTGAAGTCGCCCACGACAAGCACCCGCCGCTGCGCCACTCTACCTGCCACCCTGGTGAGACCGTCGAGGTAGTGCTCGAACTCCGAGAGAGGGCGGTTTGGGGAGAAATACACCCCTACAGTGACAGCGGCAGCAGTGGCTGGTCGCACCGGCGCCTGGACTTTGCCCTTCTTTGTGGGTGGGCGGCACTTCCTGCCCGTCATCACATGGTCGGCTGGACGACCGTTGGCCGCACACACGACGCAATGCGGAGCGGTTGCCTTGCAGGTGGCCGACCTGTGCCCCTCTTTTCCGCAGCGGAAGCAGAGCTCCTTGCGCTCGGCAGATGACGGACAGAGAGCCCGGGTGTGGCCGATGCCGAAGCACTTGAAACAGCGCATCGGCTCGTCCTCAAGCGCTCGGACCCCACCCGAGCTAAGCCCCACTGGCAGGCGACCCTTGGCGAGGACCGCCTTGGCACACGCGATGGGGCACTCCAACCGCATCGTGCCCATACCCCCGCGGCCTGGTCTAATGGCGCGGCTCTTGATCGATTCGACGGCGCAGCCCCCCGCCGCCGCAACCGCGGCTACCACCTCTTCATGGGTGACTGTGTCGTCGAGATCAGTCACCTCAAGAGCCACACATTTCACCGGCCTCACGATCTTGGCCGTGTCTGCGACAGCCTCCCTGAGCTTCGTCGCAAAGAGTTCCGCCTTGGTTCCACCTTGAGCCCCGGAGAACTCGAAGATACGAGCCCCCGTTTGGGTCTTCCGGCACGTGACCCTACCCGCCCCGAGTTGTGCGGGGTCTACGTTGGCACGAGCCCGCCGCAACACGGACTCGTACGTCTCCCCTCGCTCTGCTGCCTCTGGGGTCAACGTGACCACTACGGCTGCACTTTTCGGAGGAAGAGGGAGTTTCTTCCTCTTTTCCACTGCGGCTGCAGGCTTGGCTGCAGGGGGCTTGGGGGCCACTTTCTTCTTCCCCTTCCGCTTCCTCGGCACCACCTTTGTCCAAGGCTGGTTGGATGGGGTGGTTGAGGGCAGGAGTGGGTCCTCTCTCGGAAGGTCCTGAGGGACCGTCTGGGCAGTCGGGGCGGCCGGGGTGGTCTTCTTCCCCTTACCCTTTCCCTTGCCCTTGGACTCCCGCTGGACTGGGGCCGTTGATGGACCCGGTGCGCTAGGGGTCCTCTCGGATACCTTATCCGCCGCGAGTGGAGGGCGAAGCCGCTTCTCCGGAAGTAGCCGGTCCTCGATGCCCGCGAAGCAGGCCCTGGTGAATGCCCTCTCCTCCATTACTACCTTGCGGATAATATCCTCAAGGTTCGAGGGGGCGGGCATCAGCGCTGGACCTTCCGATGTCCCCTCGGGCCGGGCCATGAGCTCGGCAACGCGCGCGTGCAACGCCGACACCTCTTTCTGCAGGCGATCCACCTTCGCCTGCAGTTGCCGCGTTTCGTCGGAGGTGGTGCGCTGCGCCAACTCCTTTACGATGCCGAGCAAGCTCGCTGCCCGGCATTTCAGGGCCTTCTGAAAGGTCCCTTTCAGATTGGAGGACTTGGAAGCCACCTCCAAGATCTCAAGTTGATCCTCCAGAGCCATGCGCTCCATTTCCTCTACGGAATGGTCCGCGTAGAGGACGCTGGAGGCGCCGTAGCCAGCCTTGGCTCTGGTGGTTCGGGTCCGCTGCTCTTTGGCGGCGATCCTCTCCTCCAAGTCCGCCTGAATAACCGCCCGCTTTGGAGGCTTCTCCGCTTGGTCTGGAGAGCCTCTGGAGTCCTGCCTCAGGAACGCCCTCTTCCTCGACTGGCGAGTCGAACCACAGTTCGTACCACTTACGATGGACTCAGTGTCAGAAAGGTCCGACACGATGTCGCAGCCTCGAGTGAGACTCGCCGCAGATGGTGCGCGGCTGGTCTCAGATGCAGATGCATCCCGTGACTTGGATTGGCCCTGAGAAGGGCCTTTGGGTTGGCCCTGAGAAGGGCCTTTTGGGAGAAAACGCCCGGAGGCGTCCCTCAAGGGTTGTGGCATTGCCACCAACAATATCGAGAGCTCACGACAACTTAAGCAACCGATTCACAGCGTTCGTTAACCGCCGGCCTGCCACTCCGTTACGGTGGTCAGGCGCGACGTTGCCCAGGGGTCACTACGAGGAAGTCAACGCTGTGGGGGGACCCCCAACCTAACCTAACCTTTTTTTTTTTTTTGCGGCACTGGGAAAAATGCTATTACGCATACCCTTCCCGTCGGGGGACGGGAGAGGGTTATGTGGGACTCCCCGGTAAAGTCGTTCCCGGTATACCCACTAAAAAACCCAGTGGCACTCCGGCCTCGCCTGAGTGGAGGGGGTCTGGGAATCCATGTCGTCCAGGCCCCCACCGGCGACTGCCCGCCTCACGGCAGGCCCCTCAATTCCCCCCTGCTAGGGAGGAGCCTTTATGATGGCCGGAGCACGGGTGATACGTGCGATGCTGGCGCTTGCGCCCCCGCGCTTGTCGCCCGCTGATCACCCCCTGGAGCAGATGAGGACGGACGTAGTACACGCCGTCTTCGTCCGCCCCTTCGTCGTTGGCGGAGCGGCGCTGCGAGAGGATCTTCTTCCCGCATGCGCTCCGCCGCCTCCTTCTGTGACATGACGTCCTCACAGAAGGAGGCCACCGCTGCCCATGCCTCCTCACTTCCCAGCATGGATGTTATTACGCTGGGAAGTGAGAGGTCGTCCCCGACCACTGCAACCAAGGCGCGGCGGGGTTCATCCCACGCTGGGCACACCTCTAGAGTGTGCTCTGCCGTATCTAACGTGGCACCACAATGGTGGCACTGTGGCGATTCCTCCCTCCCTATTCGGTGCAGGTACGACCCGAAGCAACCATGCCCGGACAGCACCTGCACCAAACGAAACGACAGGCAGCCGTGCTGCCGATCGAGCCAGTCGTTCAGGACGGGCCCGATGGCGTCCAGCGTCCGGCGGCCAAACGCTGCGTAGGCGAGTTCCTCAGCCCAGTGCCGAGTGATGGCGACAAGACGCCCCGAGTCTGTCGTCCACAGGCCGCGCCCTACGGTGGCCGCAGGTCGGCCACCCTACGACGTCTAGTGCGTCTGCTGCGGGAGGGGAGAGAGGAGGCAGCCTCTCTCTCCCTTTCCGCCGCCTCCTTTGCGAGCATCACGGCCTCGCAGAAGGTAGCGACGGTACTCCACCCTGACTCGCTCCCGACCATAGTAGACACTACAGCCGGAAGCGAGAGATTTCCCGCAGCACCTACGGCCGCGACCAGGTCACGACGCTGCTCGGCCCAAGCTGGGCACTCCGCCAAGGTATGCAGCGCCGTATCGTCGCGGCAAAATTGTAATTAATCATCATTAACCTAACCTAACCAAACCTAACATTGTAATTAATCATCAATAACCGAACCTTACCTTAGGCAACTTTTTTTTTTTTTGGACGGGGTTTTTTATTAAATGTAATGGCGGAGTACAATCTGTGAGGTCAAGCTTGCCGAAATCGAGCTAACTTGACCTACATTTTATGCAAATTTGGCTATAATTGGTGAGGTTGGTTCTAAAACATAACCAATTATAGCTTAGCTTGAAAAGTTTGTTAATTCGTTCCTTTTTGGTGGTAGACCTAATTTTTTTTTTTAAGTTGGAGGTGAACCTACCTTTATTTAGAATGTTAGGTACTTATGTGGTGTAGTACTAATTTCATGAATGATATTTACTTGTGCTCCTGTATTACTCATAACGTTTAACAATTGTTGTGATGTATTATCAATTGTTATATTTGAATAAGTTTATTGTGTACCAATTCCGATTCTTGTAATCGGTGCAGTTTGGATTATTATTATATACGTTTTTTCATATATTTTTCATATAAAACACTATCAATTCTATGTGTTACCTATTCATAGGTTTGAAGTCGGCGCCAAGCACTAAACAGAATAAAACTAAATGAGAATCAATAAGAAAATGTTTAATTAAAATATTTTAAACTAAAATAAATACCAGAATGAGCAACTACAGCTATTTATAATTATATCCTATATATTATGAATGAATTAAAATACACACGTGGCCCTGAAAAGGACCGTTTGGTAAGCGTCTTGTGTGATGAGCAATCAAAAATTAATCGTCTCATATTTTTAAGTACATCTCCAATTGTTAAATACCCTATTACTAATTAAGTTTCCGCTATCCGTCCGTCCATAGATAGGATGGTATGGATCTAACTAATAGGTAAGTATTACAAATATGTCATAAAACCTATTATTTTATATTATATTTTATATCGCGTCGCTTCGAGCGCGGCAACCGTTACACAAAAATAATCCTTATAGCATGATCACAGATTACTGAATTGTTATGGCATCATTCAGTGTTCACATGCGATGGCGCAATTGCTTATTTTCCGAACTGCTAAGCTAAAACTAAGCAGGGGAGGGCCGCTAGTTTATTATAAGTATAGATTAAAAGTATTCTTTTCGCGTACGTAAGAGTCGTATTAAAATATCTATTTTTATTATTAAAACACAATTTGTTTTTGAAGTCGGTTTTTCTTAATATTATAAAGCTGAAAAGTTTGGTTGTTTGTTATGAATGCGGCATATAATATATGCAATATTTTATCTTGGTATTTCCACGGAAACGACAAAAATGCCATGAAATGAAACCGCGGGGCACAGCTAGTAGCTATAGGTACCTTAGCAGCATAATTATTAGAAAATAACTAAAGTTCGTAGATTTTTTGGAGCTTTCAAGCGTTTGACAAGAGCTTTGGTCCGTGGAAAATGTCTGATACTTATGACACTGCCTTAGACTAATATTCTACGAATGTTATATTATCATAAAAATCAGACATTTAAATCTAAGTTAAGTAACATTAAATTTATTTTCAGTTACGTTTCTTATCTGGTACTGCCCAGGTGCTGCACGGCAAGCTGTGCTTGTATGAGCACATGAGACGCTACTGAGAACCTAAGGATTCATCTTTTTGAAAATAAGTTATGTCAGATCGCTCTGAGATCTTAATTCAAGGGGACATAGGATAACTTTTATCCCGGAGATCCAAAAGGATAACTTTCTGAATTCCTATGAAATCGGGAACTAAGTTGATAAAACTAAAAATCTTCCAGAAATCCCTATTCCACGCGGACGAAGTCGCAGGCAGAATCTAGTAGAAAAATACAAGTACCTATTCTCGAAAATGTTGTAGTGCGCAAGTCTAGAGTAGTGGCCGTGGTGGTAACTGTGATAAGCACGCGGGCAACGGCCAGTGTCTCCGGGCCCGGCGCCGAGATGCACGCCGCGTGCGCTGTGCTGGCTGCGTGGCTGGTGGCGCGCGCGGCGCCAGCTGCGAGCGAGAGTGCGCGGGTGAGCGGCGCCGTGCGCTTCGGTGCTCTGTTCGCTGTGCACGGGGCGCCCATGGAAGCGCGTGCAGGCGCGGCCTGCGGACCAGTCCGCGAGCACTACGGCATCCAGCGCGTCGAGGCGACGTTGATGGCTCTGGATGCTATAAACGCAGACCCCCGACTGCTCCCGTGGCTGCGTCTGGGCGCCGACTTACGTGACTCGTGCTGGGCGCCGCCGACGGCGCTGCGGCAGACCATCGACCTAGTGCGCGATGCTATCGCCCCGTCGGAATCGCTTCGGCAGCGATCTCCGTCAGGTGCCGAGACCGGGCACTGCCAGGCGGTCTGTACTCTAGCAATGAATTTTAATTTAAACTTTGTGTCATTTTTTAGGGTGAAAAGTGGGTGGGGCGAGAATCAGCGTGTCACTCTCACTGATTAAAAACCACCCCGTTTTGTGTGTTACCTCGAGCCTACAGTACAGCGTTTGCTCACTCGACACCCAAAGCTTACTAACGACAGTCTTCCATATCTTCTCGTCGACGTACTGTGTGAACCTGTCAATTAATTGCAATTTTCTTGCGATTCACCTTTTCTGTTTATTGTTTTCTGAACACACATTGTTTTTTATTTCAGAAGATATAATAAATAATAAGATAGATAGGGCAAACTTGCCTAATTCGTACCACTTAAGGAGAACCCCGAAAATTTTGGAAATGAACAATAATACACAGTTATTTATATTAAGTAATTATAATTAAACTAATGTTCTATTAGTATTCCGACATAAAATAACATAAATCTGTTGTGTTTTTTTTAGTTTTTTTAAATAAAAAGAAACTAAAAAATAATCAAGTAAGTAGTTAATATTTACTGTGAAATTAAACGTTGTTTTCCTAAATCGTACGTTTTAAGAAGTTGCTGCGAGTACGAATTAGGCACAAGTATCAAATGAATTTCAAATCTGCCGCAAAAAAAACTGTCAACGTACAAGCCGGCTTTACTATGTGAAATATATTCAGAAATATACGCATAAATATATAATAATCAGTTAAACAACTTATAAACGGTATACCTACTTGGAAGACAGTTCTTGTGAAGTATGCTCTATGCATGCTATACTTACTCAAAAAGTGAGAAAAAACTTACCTGTTCAATATCTTAGTCTGGAGCAACGTAACAGGTGTTTCTTTGTCATATGGCAATCTGGCCGATTATTATTGACATTATTTTTATGCCACCATAGGCGCTGGTAACTATTACCCATGCCGAGATATAGACGAGGTACGATTTAGGCGCAGGTACGAATTAAGCAAGTATACCTATACTTATGTAAGCTATGAACAGAAGATTTTATGTTGTTAATTGAAGAATCGTATACACAAAGAGCATGGAGGCCACGGCCCGCGTGTGTCCGTGTGTCGAGCGCGCCAGCTGTCAGAGCGGGTGACGGCGAGCAGACAGCGAGGGCCCTCGAGCCTGCACACGGCTCCGCCACTAGTGTGTAGTGCACCCACTCGACAATAGCTTGCAGAATTGCCGTCGGACGCGACGGTAGTAGTGTCAAACTACATTATGTATATTATATTGTTACGTGCCTGACGTCACGTTCCTGACTATGCGGGCTTGGGTTACGGGATTGGATGAAATGAAACACTAATACCGGTTTTCAGACTTTCTATTGCACTTAAGTTACAGCGTCCACGGAGTTAAGTTATCGGCGTTCTTCTCCAGCAGAGTCCGGCCGACTGACACAACTTTGCCGTTCACGCTGACTTAACTCACTTAACTGACTGCACTTCACTATTTCACTGCACTTCACTATTTCACTCACTTTTCTTCTTTTCCACTTCTTCCTTTTCTTCCGAATCGCTTTAGACTTAGAACTCAACTGCCAGCGGTGAGCCGCAGTTCCGCTTATATACCCCTGGTCAGGTTCTAGAACATTCAATTTCGTTATTCTTTTTGATCGTCATGCCTCCAGAACCTTCCAATAATTTCGTTATTCATTTTTATTTATTCTCCTTCTCGCTCCTTAATTTTTCATTACTTTCACTCAAATATTCTAGAAAGTTCGACAAAACTTCCATCAACTAAAAAACTTCATGTTTACGGCGGAACTCGAACTCGGGGTCTCTGTGGTGTAATCCACACGCCTTACCGATTACACCAACTCGTGTTGACAATTCACGACGAAATTTACAATCTCTAGGCAACGTTTGACAACCATCCATTGACGTCATGATGTCAAAGAGTTTTCTGTCACACTGCCCCCCTCTTAGATTCGCTCGTCCCGAGCATCGTTGCTGCCGTAATACCTCGCCAACCTGTCTATATGGACAACTTTCAAAGGGCTCCTTGAAGACTTCCGAATTCTGTAAGTAATGTCATTGATCTTCGTGACTATCTCGTAAGGACCTTCCCAACTCGGTTGCAGCTTTGGAGATTTTCCCTTCCTTCTGACTGGATTATGAAGCCAGACCAATGACCCCTCTTCAAACCCAACAGAATTGGCTCGTCGATCATAGCGCGTCTTTGCGCGATCACTAGCTTGAAGACCGGCCTCCCTGATCTGCTCATAAATGTCCAACATTTTTGCCCTTAACTCGCTTATGTAATCGCTAAACTCGGTACGAGAGTCACCAGGTGGACAGCCCGATACAAGATCTGCCGGTAATCTCAATTCCCTTCCAAAATTTGCAAATGCAGGCGTCTTTGCGGTACTTTCATGTACAGCAGTCCGATAGGCAAGCAAGAAGAGAGGTATGTAAGTGTCCCAATCTCTCTGATGGCTGTCAACCACCTTTGCTAAGTGTCGCTCCAATGTTTGGTTGAAGCGTTCGACCATTCCATCTGACTGTGGATGATAAGGGGTCGTTCGAGTCTTATGGATTCCAAAAGTTTACAAGTTTCCTGGAAAACTTGGGATTCAAAGTTCCGTCCTTGATCACTGTGCATCTCCAAGGGCACTCCGAATCGGGTGAATACCTCGTTTACCAACTTCGTGGCTACAGTTACTGCCTCTTGATTCGGTATGGCAAAGACCTCCGGCCATTTTGTAAAATAATCCATAACCACTAAAACGTAGCGATTGCCCGAATCAGTGATTGGAAATGGTCCAGCGATGTCTAGGCTATTCTCTCCCAAGGCATACCAACATTGTAGATTTTCATCGCCCCTCTGCTTCTTGTTTGTGGACCCTTGACAGCTGCACAACTAGTGCATTTCCGGCACCAATCTTCGACGTCATATTTGCAATGCAACCAATAAAACCTCTCCTTGATCTTCACCAAAGTCCTCCTAATTCCCAAATGTCCTCCAGAAGATCCATCATGGAACGCTTTTAATACATCCCTTATTTTTTGAACGAGGCACCACCAATTGCAAATGCTCGTCCTTGCCGTTTGTTGATTCCCATTTCCTGCACAGAAGTCCGTTATGCAGCGTAAGGCTTTTCCACTGTGCCCATAAACCTTTCGTTACCGCGCTATATTGGGCGACGTCACTCCAACTTGGCTTGTTACCACTTCGTAGCCACTCCAGTATTGGTTTGATATTCGCATCTCTTTCCTGTTCTAATTTCATCGCATCATCTCCCCATGCCTCGTCAACAGTATCAGTCCTTATCACCTTAAGAAAAGCAATTTCCTTCTTGGCACAATGCTTGCAATCTTCCACGCATGGGCGTCTCGATAATGCATCTGCGTTGCCATGAATTCTTCCGCCGCGATGTTCGATTTCAAAGTCAAATTCCTGAAGTTGTTCCAACCATCTGGCTACTTGGCCTTCAGGATCCTTAAACTGAAGCAGCCATTTCAAAGCAGCGTGATCAGTTCTGATTAAAAATTTCCGTCCCAGTAAATACTTCTTGAAATGGTGCAGAGTTTTGACTACGGCCAGTAATTCCCTCCTGGTCACGCAATAATTCCTCTCCGGCTTGGATAGTGACTTGCTGAAGTAAGCAATAACCTTCTCCTGCTCACCATCGCGTTGTGAAAGGACACCTCCTATTCGATATTACTGGCGTCCGTATCAACTACGAATATTCCTTTCGCGCTGGGGTATCCGAGAATTGGCGTTTTACAAAGCCGTTCTTTTAGTTCGCGAAAGGCTTGCTCACAATCCTCGTCCCATATAAAGGCACGTTTCTCCTCTGTCAATCGATGCAATGGCTTGGCAATGTCCGAGAATCCTTTCACAAACCGCCGATAATACGAGCATAATCCAAGAAATGCCCGAACTTGCGTTTTGTCTTTAGGTGTTGGCCATTCCTTAACAGCGGCAGTCTTGGCTGGATCAGTCTCAATTCCTCTCTCAGAAATACACATGTCCTAGATAATTCACTTCGCGCTTAAAGAAAGAGCATTTCTTTGGACTCAACTTTAAATTTGCTCCACGCAGCTTTTCGAGTACCCTTTCCAATTTTCTTAGATGATCGTCAAAATCCCTTCCAACGATGATGATGTCATCGAGGTAAACTAGGCAGGTTTCGCCCAGCAGTCCCGCCAGAACCTGTTCCATCAAACGCTCAAAGGTTGCCGGTGCATTGCATAATCCAAATGGCATCACCTTAAATTGCCAGAGTCCCTTCCCAGTTGAGAATGCGGTCTTTTCCTTTGTCCTTGGGATCCAAATCCACCTGCCAATAGCCGCTTTTCAGATCGAGCGTTGAAAACCATTTCATGCCACTCAGTGTGTCAAGTGTGTCATCGATTCTTGGTAACGGGTAGCTATCCTTCTTGGTTACATCATTCAATCGTCGATAGTCTACGCAAAACCTCGTTGAACCATCTTTCTTCTTGACAAGCACGACAGGTGAACACCAAGGGCTAGAAGAGGGCTCTATCACGTCATTTTTCCTCATATCGTCAATCATTTGTTCAACCTCTTTCTCACGAGCGAATGGTATACGTCTGGGCCTTTGACGAATTGGCATTGTATCACCTGTATTTATTTATGCTTCACCAAACCAGTTCGGCCAATATCACCATCGCTTCTTGAAAACACATCAGAGAATCGAAGGAGTAAATTTCTAGCTTTCATAGTCTCCACTTTTGTCAGACTTTTGTTTTTCGTCTAAGATTTTCGTTACAAAGTCTATTCCCGTACTGTCCTTCTTCACAAGATTCTCCGAGCATTTTCTTATCCAGGCCACTTCTTCCAAAACGCCCACAGGCTCTCCTTCTTCAATCGTAATTTTTGAATCACTGAAGTTGAATACCGGAATGCGGTTGACATCAGATGACCCCACGACAGTCCTTGCCGGTAGCCATGAGTTTACGTGTTCCGATTTATCAATCACAGCGCACCCTTCGAGGTAAACTTCCTTCACTCCTCCTAGGTAATGCGATTGGTACGAGAGTCTGTGATTTTGGTTCAAGAACAGTTCTTCTTAAACAGCAAACTTTTCCCAGGGTTCCACCCCTTCATCGGAATTTCCTC